TGCCTCAGTTAAGACCTTCACTGTAACAATACGCAGATTTAGAATGATATATTGCAAGAGAAAAGTGTCCACCCTTCCAAGCAAGGGAGGAGTTGCATGAAGGAAGATTATTAGCATAAGGGAGGTTCTTAATTTATTTCTGAAGGAATGAGAACTAACATAGGGAAAGTAGCTGAGATTAATTTCTGATGACAAAAGCAAACTTTTAATCAGGTATCTGGCAAGCATGAAATTTAACATCTTTTTCTTATTTGTATTCTGATTTGAGAATCAGTGCTCATATGGCAAGTTAACACAAATGTCTAAGAGAGTGTGCTTTTCCCTTCTCTTAGTCCCACTTTGCTTGATCTGCTTCCATGAGCAGGTCCCTGTGGGAACCATGAGGTAATGAAAGAATTCAGAGTGTAGTTATACAGTGCACTGGCTTCATCAGCAAAGCTAACTCAAAAGTCTGTTCCACACAATCCTCCTTGCCCTCATTGCCTGTTTCTGCTGTTCTGCTGTTAATATTCACGCCAGTTTGCTGATCTGACAATCATTCCATTACAGCTATCTGTGACATGGAAGAGCAAATCAGACAATTGAAATGATCCTACTTAAAATGGCTCCTTTGTTTTTAAGAAAAAATATCCATATCACTGAATAAAAAACATTTCTATTCAGCCACCAATAAGAGCATATCACATTGCTGAGAAAATCAAATGCACAAGCATTTGGATTTATGGAGATCTGACCAGAAAGAAGGGGTAGGAGGGAAAGGGGGAGGGTTATTTATTCATATAATCTCTTTTAAACCTCAACCTGAGATATTCTTTGTTTTCTCTGGAGTAAAGATTAACTTGTGGAACAGCGATAGAGTACTGAGAAGAAAGGCTGGTGGGGGGGGTGTGCTAGGGTATTGCAGAGGCCGAAGTGATTCCACAGCAGCATCTTTTTGGTTTTGCACTGACATCTTTCCCTTAACAAGGGGGAAAAGGATTGTCTGCACTAGAAAAGTGACAGTATTAGAACACCCAGCACACAATAGAGAAAATTTCCATTTTCTACATGCTCTGTTTTGCTGGTAAAGCTCTCCTAGCTCTAGAGCAGGACTGAGATCCTGGTCAGCACTGAAAAATCAAACAGAAGGGCAGCATAAGGCAACCTAGCAAAGAAGTTCAAGCGGCTAATCTTTGAATCAAATTAGTTTAGCCTTTGCCTTACAGTCAGTATCAGAAGCACAAGTCACTTTTTCTCTGTGCTGGGGAAGGTGTCTGACGTTTGCTTCACTTTCTGCCGAATCGCGGGAGCGTGAGTCAGATGCTCTTGCAGCTGGTTCATGCAAGAGAGCGGCCAGCAGCGACCCTGACTCACCAGGGTTGCTAATCTTCCTCCTGAACTTTAGCTCAGCGGCTGGAAGTGAAGTCACGGGGTGTGGGTAGCGCCGGAGGTAGGAAAAGAGGGAGGAGCGTCGGGTTTGTGAGAGCCGAAGAAAGCGAGCCCCCGCTGAGGCGCGTGTCCCGGGGGGACGGGACGGGCGTCGGGGGCAGCTCCGCGCTGAGAGGCCGCAGTAGGCCGGCAAGAGTAGGGCGAGTGGGAAGTCCCGAAGGAACATGTCTCCTTTGCGACTGCTGGCAGGAAGACAAATAAATCCCCCTCCATGTAAAACGCAGCGGGGAACGTGAGATGCCAGGCTAGGGCTCCCGCCGCTGCCTGCGCAAAGCCCGTTCCCCTTTCGGTACGCGTACTGCCCCGTTACCTCATTGCCACATTCCCTAGCGAGTGAGCTCAGCTGTTCGCACAGCCTCTCTCCTTATATGGTCAAACAACTTTGCCTGGGCGAGGCTTTTTTGCGAGTTGGTAGGAAGTGTTCGGGCTCAGCAGCTCCCCCAGTCCTCTTTTCTTCTGGCAGCCGGGCCGAGGGTGGCGGGCCGGGCCGGGGGCAGCGGGAGCCGGGCGCCCCCCCCCGCGGCTGCGCTCCGAGAGCTGCACGCCCTGCAGCCGGGTTGACTTGTTGGCTCAGGGACGGCGTTTTCCCTGGGCGCTCCCTCGCAGCCCGCGTGCCCCAAGGTGAGTCTCTTCCCTTCGCTTAGAAAAGGCTTTTGTCTGCAATCCTGCCTTCCAGCCCGGAATGTGCTTGCGGTGCGTGTAGAGGGGGGATGCTAACTTCCTGACACTCCCACTGGGGCTCGGAGGCTGCCTCTCCTGCCGGCATAGTTGCCTGCCTTGCACAAAGTCGCTCGCTCACTTCAGCGCTGATTTATGGTCATACCCTCCCTCCCCCTCCCCATTTTTTTCACCCCTCACTCTTCTGCCGGAGTGCACCTCAGCGCCGAGGGCTTCGCGCGTGCGAATCTGGTGAGTTCTCTTCTCTCCCGGTGAAATAGAGTCAATTAAACATTCCTGTAGAGCTCTAGCGGGGAGGGAGGGGGTGCTGCCTTGTTTTAGTAGGGACAATCCGTCTTTTGTGTGCATATGGATGAGTGAGATACCTATGGAGCCTTTTTCCAGATGTGCTGAAAAGGGAGGAATGTGGGAGTCTTTGTGCGTGGAATTTGTTTAGTTCATAAGTTTCTGCCTCTCTGGGAAAGCCCTGAGAACGTGAAGAAGCAAGTGCTAGCAAATCCCTGGAACTTCTTAGCATTTAAAATATGTTTGCATAGCTTTGGGGTTATCTGCCTCCTAGTACAGGGTAGGTGGAAAAGCTTGAAGCCCTAAATGTCCCCTCCCCCCCCTCCTCCCCGCCTTTTTTTTTTTTTTTTTCTTTTCCTCAGACTCTATCAGCTACGCCAACTGTGAGATAGGACTTTGCTCTCTTTGAAGCTTTATAACTTTTGGTCAGGCTGAGAGAACTTTACAGAATTCATACAATTTCAGAATTGTATGAAAGTGTGGAAACAAGCCGAACTCTTTAATCTATTTGCTCTGTTGACTTCATATTCCTGTATGCTTTTTTTTGTTACAGCTTTTTTTTTTCGAGTCCCCTCGACTGGAAGGAAGTTGGCAGTAGAGGCTGGTTGTGTGTAGGGGAAGTACAGATGCAGTGCAAGACCACAGTGGACTATTTTTTGCTAGGCCTCCCTGTGTGGCTTGAGCCAAGGGGGGCCGGAAAACAACACTCTGCGCTCTCTCTCTCTCTCCTTGTGTTCCTTCTTCTGTCCCTCCCCCGTGCAAGGAGCTCAGCTTTTGGAACTGAGTCTTGGGAAAGGGAATCAAAGTTGTCTAGGTGTACAGTAGGTGGTCAGTGCACCGTAGGACTTTCTAAGAGGTGGCCCTAGTTGGCTAAGGGAGATGGTGCTTGATTCAGCCCTGGTACATGTACAGGGCAGGGCACATGAAGCCACTAAGTATTGTCACTTCATCCTGTGGGGACACTTTTTTTCAGAGCTCTGCCTGAGTCATCTAAATGCTGTTGCTGCAAGAAGAAAATCTCTCCCCTTGGGGACAATGTGAGGAGGTGGATTTGAGATTAGGTTTGCCTGTGTGACACTCCTTCTCCACTGTGTTTTACAAACAGTGCCACAAGACTCATGTAAAGTATGTGCTCGTGGTAAGACTTAAATGGTGGCAGCAGAGGAGGGGAAGCTCAGAAAGGCCAGCCTTCCTCAGCCTGTCTGGTCTGTGCCGGGGTGGACAGACAAACTGAAGTGAAGATGAGCAGGGGCAGCTGCTGGACGGAGGCAGCTCCTAGCAGAAAGTGTCTCAAGTCTGACAGCATACAGAGAAATGAGCTGCTTTGGGGTCAGAAAGAGAGCAGCTGCTCATAGTGAATCATAGTGAAGCCAGTGCTTTTTTTTTTGGTGAAGCTGCTGATATCCGCAGACTGTGTCTGATTTGACTAACTCCAGTACAGATCATGATCAGAAGTGACTGCCACTGTGATGTTCTGATCACAAGCAGAAATGAACACAACACAGCTTGAACACAACACAGTTAATTCCACTAGCGCTATTACAAAGTGGTTTGTTGCTCCACAGTGGAAGAGGGTAGTACAAGATGGAGTAAGTGCCTTCATCAGATGGAATGTGTAAAGAAATTCTGAAGATCTTGAGAACAAACTTAGCTTGCGTGGAAGCCTGCATTGTGCCTGCAGGCTTGAGGTAGAGAATCTGTTCCTTCTGATGAGCAAGTCTGATCCCCTGGCACTCTGAGGAATGGGGAACAGGATTCCTAATTACCCTTTTGCTTGGTTTCTTTTCAGCACTGGGTCATATATGATACACTGAGCACTGATCTTTGGCTGACGCTTACTATTGCAACCTTTTCTTATTCAATCTGAATAGCCCAGCACAATTTGTCAAGCTGTGTTTAACGCGCTAGTCCTGTGTAAAGGAAGCAAAAGTGCAGCAGTGTGGACATAATGTTAGTTTATGTCTTCGCACACTTGCAACCTGTAGTATTTGTTACAGGTAGCTATATCTTGCCGTGCTGAACTGAGTGCTTGGAAATAGGCATGCAGGTCTCAGCAGCAATGGGTGAGTTGGCGGCAGGCGGATGTTTGTGGCGCCAAGGCTGTCCCAGCAGCTGTTATTGTCTGCGTGAGAGAGGCTGGCATTTTAGAAGGATGCAGATTCGGCCATGCCAACTCAGAATGCTGGCACAGAGCCCCTGTGCTAGCGGAAGCACTATTGTGCCTGGGTGTTAGGAGGGCTATAGGCACGCTGGAGGTTACAACAAAGCATCTGGTTTCACGGAAATTTTTAGCACGGATGAGATTTCTGGCCTGGATTCTGGGACTGCAAGAATCCTAGAAATGTGGCCTTTGTCATGAGACCTGTGGCTCCTGCAGTGGCTGGCTTGGTGGGGCTGTCTGCTGGTTATTCGAGTTTGGTGGTGGAAAGGAAGGAAGATTTGCGTGCCTGCATATAGTAAGTAGAGTACTTACCCCTTGCACACATTCAGCTGGCTGAGCTAGCTGGGTTCTTGCATCCCTCAGGCTGTCCTTGCACACAACTGGACTGTGGCGGCTTCACTGCTGTGCCTGAGCTGAGCGCTCTCTGCAGTAGCAAAAGGAATTGATTTGAAGGTGCCGCTTGCGCAGCAGAGGCTGCTGGGGGGAGCGGCTCCAGAAGTGTTGTCCACATGTCTAAGAATTGCTTCCTGGTAGAGTCAGAGCACGTGGCTGGCTCAGCCAGTGAGGGGCAGAGGGAGCCTGTGTCACTGACTCCAGTGACAGGAAGGAGAGCAAAGCACGGGGCGGGCGGCGGGGGGCAGCAAGATAGCAGAAGGCTGTGCCAGGGTATGTGATGTCGGACATCCCTTAGCCTGTCTTTCATTTGCATTTGTTGCAGCTGCCTGTGCTCCTGTGGCGTGCAAGGGGTTCAAGGTAAAGGGGCTGGGATGGAGGAAGCAGGTGACATGCCATGGTTGGAAAGGTTGAGGTGAGTGTTACTGGGGGTGTTACCAGGGATGCCACAGGATGAGGTCAGGAGGAAGCAGGTGGCACTGTCAGGGGAGTGGGGGGCAGGTAGAAATACTAATTCTACTCTTGAGATGGTGTATATGAGGATGCCCTCCTTAGGGTGTGTGGAGCAAGGAGTACAACTCAGGCTGGCTCTGCAGATGGCTTTCTGGTGACTAGCATCATTATTCTGCATATATATATGGGGATTTCTCATTCAGCAAAGAGCTTGGTTTTATGTATGGCAGTGGTGTCTGCCAAGGTTTTCTCTGTGGTCAGTGCTGTACTGAGTAAAGATGGTAAGGTGTTCTGGTTCGGTTGAGTTGTCTGCAGTTTCTGTTCTATTTTTCATGTGCTGGAAGTACTGTTCTGTTCAGGTCTTGTAGTCTTTGCCCTTATATAAGCTCCTGTATCCATCTGTTTCACCTATTCCTGTGTATTGATTTCCACTCTACCCCAAGGATGACTTCATATCTGTTTGTTTTCTCATTTCTCCCACCAGGTGCTGAGAAGATGACTTCCTCAGGTGCCCCAGGGGCCCGCATGACATCCACTGTCAGTATCAACATTTCTACTCCATCCTTTTACAACCCGCAGAAGAAGTTTGCACCTGTGGTTGCCCCAAAACCCAAGGTGAACCCCTTCAAGACTGGGGGTGTATCAGAGTCATCATTGCCACAGCCTCCTGGAGCTGGTGCCCAGCGTGCTCAGATAGGGAAAGTGGGGGAAATTCCATCAGCTTCTACATACATGCTGGCAGAAGGTAGGTGAGGTCTGGCATGACAGATATGAATGTGTTTCAAAATGCTCAGGGTGTGTAATCAGAATAAACATGAAAATAGGAGCATAAGTGCTAAAAATGAAGGATAGTTTTACTGCAGAGTCCAGAGTGAGATACAAAGGTTGTGAAGTGCACAAAATAATTCAAACCCCTTTGGTCTCCAAGTACATAGCGTCTCCATTAGGGAAGGAGCAGAGAAGGTGATTCTGTATTGTTCTGGTCTTTTAATAAGGCTGAAGGAATTAAATGGATTTTTAGCGGTATTCTATAACAGTACAATTGTGCAACAGCGGTCAGATTCTGGCCAGCGTGTAAGAGAGCAAATATGTTGCAGGGAAGTTGGTCCCTGGTGGTGATGAATCACACTGTTCCTTTTCTTGTTGATTCATCTCAGCACTGTGAAGATCCTTTTCTGCATTTGCAATCTTTGCTGCTGGAGGTAGGGAAGAAGAAGTAACTGTATGAAAAGAGTGGAAACTATCATAAACAGGAAGTGAGATTTACTGCTTGTATGCCTAAATTTTACCTTTTTTGCTAGAAGTTTGCGTTGGGTGTGTTTTCCTGTGTAGAAGGACTGCTTGCTTTAGTGCTTTTTTTTTTTTTTCTTTCTTTTTTCCTTCCTCTTCTTTAATACATTTTTTTACCTTTAAGGAGCTTCTAATGGCATAGCCAGCCAGGTTGGAACAGGTCAGTGTGGGACTACTGGAAATCTCAGTAGGGAGCTGTTGCTCTTGCTTAACGCTGCATGTTACCCCAGGACCCTATCAGCAAGCATCTCAGCCAGGGCAGATATGTTCAGATAATGGAACTGCTGTATTAAATGTCTTCTTTTTCATTGTCTAGTGTTTGCCTGGTGGTTGTGCAAAGTTAGCAGGCAGCTGATGTGATGTCAGGAAGGCAAGTCCTGAAGAGACAAATGAGCGAGCCATTGTTTCCATTGGCAAAATCACTTGGACCCCAGTAGTGGGGTCTCTGTCTCCTAGAATTCCCCTTGTGCTAACTTGGGTGACCTTTCAATTATGTTCATTTGCCTAGAATCTTGGGTCTGTAATCCAAGGCCCCATTTTGGGATTTAGATTTTTACTAGCGTAGCTTTGGGGGTTAGGGATGTGTGGGTGGGAAGGCCTCTAACACAAATGCTGAATGACTGTAGTAGATTGGATGCTGTTAAAAATTATTTGTTCAATAAGTAGTGTAGGTGGAGGATTGGGTTTTGTTGCCCTGCTCCTCCATTCCCCTGTAAAGTGTATTATGGAGGAACTGAGTTGACAAGAGATTAGGAAAAAAGCTATTTGGCTTAAGTGGCATACTGCCACTTAGTAAGGGCTGCCAGCAAAGCTGTTCTGACAAAACATCTTAAGTACAGCTAAAAACAAAACACAGTCATGTGATGACAAATGCATCTGATACTCTTCGATCCTTCTCTGTCCTTCCTATCTGCTCCAAAAACAAATAATAGTATAATGTAAAGTCATAACAACTGGTCTTTTTGTATTAAATTACAGGATGGCAGAGTTAAAATCACTATAGGAATGCCATGGTTGATACCTATCATTCTATAAATTTGGTACAATAATTTTATGGGGTACTCTTGTGAGAGTGAATAATTTATAAAACAGAGTTTTGTGCATCTGTTTGAAACAGTGTGTTAGCAGTTCAGGGCTTAATTTATGCAATTTTCTTTTAAATAGATCAAAAAGTAAATGTGTACAATCTTGTTCCAAAACTGTAGTTTCAAATTAAAAAAAATAGCATTATTTGCCTTTTTCTCCATAAGAAGAAATTTTGTGAAACAAAATGAGGTGCTGCATACCAGTGCAGTTTATGCATTCCAATGGCTAATAAGATTTAAATTTTCACTTTCTGAAACAGGCAATATCATTTCCCTTAGGCTACTGATAAGTCCTGTTGAAGTTTGGTCAAGAACTGGCTATAGCGACCATATGGTCTGAAGTTTGCTGAACTCCTACCCTTATGCTTGTTGAGGCTAGCTAGGAACAATAGTGTTCCCATATATCTAGGAGGAGTATAGGAGTTGTCTGCTTATCTTTAGAATTCTTTGCTGCTTAGGTGATGAGAGAACACCTTCCTCCCATATATGGTGAAGAGGACTGACGTATATTTGACTGCGCTGTGGAAAGTGGAAGCAATAGTCTCTTTCTAGGAGACAGGTGCTTTTTAGCCTTTTAGCCTACTCATGAGGAAGTTTTCAGACCCCTTTTGTCCTAATCTGTACCAAGCACGGGGTCATTTTAGTCTCCAAAAGGAAAGCTGCCTTCGTCTTCCAGAAAATGAATTGGCTTCAAAGATTTCAAAGATACCCTATATGCATGAGGGTGGGTTGACCTGATTTTTTTTTCCATTTGTTGCTTGAAGTGCTTAGTAGCCAGCTGCAAGGCACCAGCTTGTTTCTCCATAATAGTATAGGGTCTTCTGTCCCTTGTGCTGCCAGCTGTCATTCCTTCAAGTGCTGCTATGGATTCAGCATTCTGAGGCACTTACTGGTGAGCAACGCACATCCTAAGGACCAAAGGATGAGAGGAGGAGTAGAGAAGGGCACATTAAGGCATAAATCCCTAACCAAGAATGTATAGAATGCTAACTCTTTTCAGTGACTAACTGCAATTGCTGTTTCTGAGTGCTTATGTGATGGCATATAGCTTAGATAAGGTGAAAGCCAGGCTGTGGAGTTCAGTTCTCCTATATGGATAGTGGAGACCCCTTGATGATACTTTCAAGAGTCCTCGTTGAACTAAGTAGGAAACTATTCAAAACTGCTTTTATTCTTATTCTTCCCTGTAGAGCTGCCACTGCCGCCGCCGCCTCCTCCAGGAGATGATGCAAGTCTTTCCTCGAACACTGCATTTCCCCCGCCCCCACCGCCTTTTGAAGAGCCTTTTCCTCCAGCTCCAGAAGATGTCTTTCCTTCTCCTCCTCCACCAATGTTTGATGAAGGACCTATGAGCAAAGTACCTGCCCCACAGGTGAGTGAGGTCTGGGGAAGTGTAAGTTCTTGTGATGGTCTGTAATTGTGAGTTGAGACAGTTTTTCCTCTTCTTTAGCCTCAGCAGCAGGAAGCATTGGGATCTGGGAAAAGTGCTGCCCGTTTACTTACTCCATCATGGTCCTTTTCCATAAGATGCTGTGGAGTAAGCTGTGGAAGTTCAGCAGAGACAAATGCAGAGCCCTGTTTCTGGGATGGAACTGCCCTGTGCATCAGTTGAGGCCAGAGTCATCTGACCAGGGAGCAGTTCTACAGATAAGGCCTGGTGGACAGAAAGTTGAACATGAGCCTGCAATACACCCTTGTGGCAATGCAGGCCAATCAAAGACTAGGCTGCATTAATAAAAGTATAGTCAGACATCCCATACAAGTGACTATTCACCCCCTGTTTCTCATTATTGAGGCTGCATCTGGAAGATTGTTTTCAGGTGGGCTTCCCACTGTGGTACCCATCAAGGAATATTGAACTAGCGGCAGTCCTAAAAGGGTGATGGAGTTCATTGCGGGGATGGAGTATGTGATGTGGGAGCTGCATTTGCTCAGCCTGCAGAAGGCTGAGATAGAGATCTAATTAGCAGCCTTCAATACCTAAAGGAGGGTTAAGAGAAAGACAGAGACAGATTCTTATTGGGACACAGCAGGAGAACAGGACAAAGTTGTAATACAGCAAATTCCTATAGGACCGAAGAACAGCCCATCCTTCTCTAAGGATGGTTCACGTGACACAGCTGTCAAGAGAGGCTGGGAAGTCTGTATCTTGGAGATATTCAGAAAACACCTCGATGAGGCACTGGTCAAACTGACCTACATATGAAGTTAATCTTCATGTGGACAGTGAAATAGAGACATCCAGAGGTCTCTTTCCATCCAAAAATTTCTGTGAGTCTCTTTGGGTGTGCATGTTCCCTGCAACTTGTAGACCATGGTGATTATGCTTATGAATTATTCATTCAAGATCTGCTCAAGGCCAGGAGATCTGTGCCACAGCCCCAGGTGTCAAAATCTGTTGTAGGCGATACACCTGGGTCTCTGGCTGTTCCTGTAATATGCTCTGCTCCCTCTTTCTTCATGGACGGTTGTGTAGGTACGTGACAAGATGAGCAGCATTGATCTTGAGTTTTCCTCACTGTCCGTAATGTTGGATGACATGGAGAAGAATGATCCCTTCAAATCCCGGGTGAGCTGCTCTCCAGTGTGTTGCAAGTTGAAGGAGAGATGATTGGTTTGCCAAAGAGAGGTAGTTGAAAGGGATCCTACAGGAAATCAAATGTCTAGATAAACCATAATGAGAAAGCCTACCTGAAGGACCAGAAAGCATAGATTGTGCAACTTGTCAGAACTGCTAAATATGTGGTAGTGTGGGGACTTTTATCATGGGTCTAGGAAAGTTACTGACTACTGGTGTAGAGGGTATATTTTCTCTTCCTTTTTGTCAACAACTGCATGTTTCTTTCTGGTTCCTTGATTTACAGGTATCTCCAGGATCCACAGGTTCTCTGGAGAAACAGTCTGCCCCAAAAGACCTGGTGGAAATTTCATCTGCACCCAAAGATCCTCCTCGTTCCTTTCCACCCAAGTTCACTCCAAAGCCAAGTGGAAGCTTATCTTCCAAGCCTCTTGAAGTGGATGCGATTCCTGCCCCAGCCCCATGGGCAGCCCCACAGCAGCACAGAGAGCCCCCAGCACCAATCCCTTCCCCCTCTTCTCTCCCTCCTTCTCAGCCTACCGCTAAATACACCCCACCTCCTGTTGCTGGATCTCCTAAGTCTGGGTCCAAGCCAGGTGCCAGCATTCCCATGACTCTGTCAAACTCTGTAAGAAATCCTACCTCCCTTCAGACTCAGTTCACAGGTTCTTCCTCACGGTCACAGCCTCCCAATTTCTCCTATGCCCAGCAGCGGGAAAGACCCCAAGTACAGGAGAAGCCACGTCCTGCAGAACAGCCTGTTACTGCAAAAGACATGGTAAGGAGTAGAGTCATGGTCTTCGGACAAGAACAGAATCATTTAAGGTTAGAGGAGAAGGATGGAGTGTCTGTCCCTGGCTAGAGGGAGTTGTTCTCCATCTGAAAAAGGGCTCCTTTCATTATGTTTTTGAGAGATGGAGCTAGGCACGGTGGTGGAGGAGCATACATCTTTATGTAAAGATGAAAAGAAATGGCCATAGTGCATGGAAGATTGTTCCACAGAGAGAGGAAGGAGGTGTAAAGGAAAGAGAAATAGATTAGGGACAGGGCGGGAGGGGATCTGTCCATATGTGTTCTTTGGGATTCAATGTCTCATCTTCCTGCAGCGTAGACCCACGGGTTCCAATGCAGATCCCCCTAGGGGAAATTCTTCTCTGACCATGAAGGAGGTAGAAGAGCTGGAGATGTTGACTCAAAAACTAATGAAGGATATGGAGCACCCACCTCCAGCAGAAACCACTACTTCTGGTGCGTTCCCTCAGTGGACAGCAGCAGGACCATGCCTGTGGTGGTGGGTTTTCCTCTCTCTTATCCCTCTCTCCTTCCACTGGCAGAGCTCTGTGGCTTCTGCCGGAAGCCCCTATCAAGAACCCAGCCAGCTGTGAGAGCCCTGGACTGCCTTTTCCATGTGGAGTGCTTCACCTGCTTCAAATGTGAGAAGCAGCTGCAGGGGCAGCAGTTTTACAATGTGGATGAGAAGCCTTTCTGCGAGGACTGCTATGCTGTGAGTAATTAGGATGAGGGCTATTGGAGAGAGCTGAGCTCCCTGTGGTTGATATCTCTTGCTTTCCGTCCAAGTACTTGCAGTCTTTCACCTGTTTGTGGTGTCATATCCTGGGAGTGGGAGACTGTATTAATGTGTCTTGCTTGTTTCCTTTGGGCCCAGGGGACCTTGGAAAAGTGCAGTGTCTGCAAACAGACCATCACAGACCGTATGCTGAAAGCCACCGGTAACTCATACCATCCTCAGTGCTTCACTTGTGTGATGTGCCACACCCCTCTTGAGGGGGCCTCTTTTATTGTGGACCAGGCCAACCAGCCTCATTGTGTGGATGACTACCACAGGTATGGAGAAAGCCCATTCATGAGGTGTCTGAAAGAAGGTTCTCTTTTTCTCAGACCTATTTATTTTTGCTGTAAAAATAGCTGGCTTGGGCTGGGATGTCCCTGTGATTTGTTGTACAGGTTAAAAATGAGTCAGTGCTGAAACTCCCTAGCAGTGAAGGTTAACCATATACTAGGCTGTATTAGTAAAGTCTTCGGGGTGAGGGAATTGATTACTGACCTCTGTTTAGCACTAGCGAGGCTGTGTCTAGAAGGCTGCTTCCAAGTAAAGCCCTAGAGTATGGGTGAGATGTTGATGATCTGCAGGCAGTCTAGCAAAGGATTTCTTCCAGAGCACCTGATGTGTTAGGAGAGGTTGAAGGTTTTTATCAGCCTGCAGAAGAGGATGCTGAAGTGGAGCTCGTGATTGCTGGCTGTAGCCACTGAGTAGTGAGATGCTAAAGAAAATGGAGACAGAGTCCTATTTTCATAGGAAGATGGGACAAGAGGCAACAGACACCAGATGCAAAGGAAACTTGTACTGTGCATAAAGAAAAACTCCTCCCTGCTGAAGGTACTTCAGCACTAGTGCAGGTGCAAGGAGACTGGGGAATTTGACATGTTGGAGATAACTCAGAAATCACTTAGGCGAGACTATGAGCAGCCTGTTCTAGCTCTGAAGATTGCCCTGCTGTGATTGCCCACAGCAGGGCAATCTTATCTTTATCAGGTTGAACTAGCGGCTTTTTCTACCTAAATCTTTCTGTGATTTATTCTTCTCTTGCTAGTCCTTCTCTGTCAGAAACCTGCGCTGAATGTCAGCACAGTGATTGTGGTCTCTGGATTTGTGTGTGTTGCAGGAAATATGCTCCACGCTGCTCAGTCTGTAGTGAGCCTATCATGCCAGAGCCTGGAAAGGATGAGACAGTGCGTGTGGTGGCACTAGAGAAAAATTTCCACATGAAATGTTACAAGTGTGAGGTAACCCTGTCCCCATCCCCCTCATATCTCTGATTTTCTTTCTTCCCCCCTGCCCCAAAATCCTTAGCATCATCATCAACTAGGTTCCATTTTGATTTGTGTTCTCCAGCTCGGGTCCCTTTAATGTAAGAATGTTATAAAGCAGGTTCAGAAAAGGATTAGACATTCACGAATCTAAGGTCCTTGAACAAGGACTGTGCAGGGTTATAGCCTCTAAGATCCCTAAATAACAGCAGTTTATACAGTGGGAGCAGGAAGGGAAAGGATCATAAAAGCGGCTGTGCTCCCATGCTCTCCCAAAATTGCATCTTCCATTAGCACCATCAGAGAGAAAACCCTGGGCTCTGTGGGCTGTTAGCCTGGTCTAGTATAGCATTTCTTATCCTCGACCACAACTGTTTCCTGCAATTAGCTCTTTGTTTTTCTTCCCCTTTAGGACTGTGGGAGGCCGTTGTCCATTGAAGCAGACGAGAATGGCTGTTTTCCACTGGATGGGCATGTACTGTGTATGAAATGTCACACTGCTCGTGCCAAAACAACACGCTGAGGCGCTTGGAGTGGGCAGAGCCATTAAACCCCTCCACCCAATGTTCTTCCCCCTCCCCACCACTGTCATGCCCCTCTGCCTGGCAAGGGAGATGCCTACCTTATGGAGACCCTGCCATTGCAGTACTTTCCTCATGTAGGATTCTCATAGACTTCAGTCTGTGCACTTGCCAAGGAAGCACACTTACTCCAGTCTCTACCTTCCTGGCCACAGTGTATTCCAAGCTGGGGACTGAGTGAGGTGGACAGAAGTGCTCTGTTCCTTTAGTCCCCTGGAGCAAGAGCTCTTGAGTAAGACCAGATCTCCACCACCACCTGGTGGCAGTAGAAAGAATGATCTGATGGCAGGTGATGGGCATTGTACTCTGAGGAGCCAAGATGAGATATTTTACATTAGAAGGTGGGAGCTTCTGTCTCAACACTGTTTCTGTCTTTGCAGTTATTTTCTTCTATCATCTTATTACAAGGATGATTATTTTTTCCTTTTTTCCTGTTCAAAGCGTGAGTACAAAGCATATTGAGAATCTCTTCTAATCGCTGGAAAAATATTCCTGTAGCTTTTCTACTTTTTTTTTTTTTTTCCACTGGGAATGAATTAGCTTCCAGTGGGTGGACAGCCAGGTGGAGCACCAGAGTAGAAAACTAGTCCAAAGAATGTGTTTGTTTACAAATTAAAAACTGGCAAAAGAGCTGGCAGCAGACAGTAAGGAGGTGCCTCAGTATGTGGATGAGAAATTGCAAACTGAGGAATGCTGCTTGTTTCCAAGCAGCTTTCAGTGCTCTTGGTGAAAGCTTCAGTATATAAAAAAATGCTTGTCTGGCTCCACTTGTTACTGTACTAAGCGCCATTTTCTGGGTAAGAATTTCCCAAACTGAACAAACTTTTTGGATAACTATATTGTCCAGCCAGTGTTTGCATATAATAAAATATGGGTGTGTTTTTTCATTAAGGTGTGTCTTTTATATTTGTTCAGCTGCCCATGAGAACTGGTAGTTTAGGCAGTGAAGAATGTATAGTTGCTATTTCACCCAGACTCCAGAGGTACTATGAATCCAAGAAGGCCTTTCTCTCTTTACATCTTGTTGTTTAGTTTCCTCTTTATATTTCTGTGTCTGAAGAGTAGCTTTTCTCAGCTAAATAAATGGAAGACTACATTTCAGTACACCAAGACTGAAGCTGGCTTGGTGTGTCACGGGCAGATGGGTTATTGCAATCCACTTGCATCAAACTAGAACCAAGGAGTCAGGAGTACTGTTTGTTTGTTTGTTTGGCTATGCTAGCTTTGCCAGCTATTACTGCTCAAAGAGAAAGTTTGTGCTTGAGACTTAGTCTTACTGTTTTAAGCATGGTACTGTCTCTACAACTGCATCTGAAACTCATTTTTTGAAGTGCAGGAGCATTGAATATTACCCCACAGCCCTTACACTGCCCTACTCTGTTCTTATGCCAGTTTTTTGAGCAGTCTTTAATGATTGTGCAAATTTATCCAGGAAATGCCTGGAGAGTCCCTATAGGATGAGCAAGCAATAAACAAATCTGTGCATTTATTGTCATTTTAATTTCTACTGAGTACTTGATGGTTCCTGAACATCACTTCCTAGAATGGTTCGTGTTAGGTTATAGGATTAGAGGCTGGTAGCTGCAACTTCAAAAGACAGTGACAGCTGGGAGGAGAAATACACTTGCCCATCTCCTTCCAGTACTATTGCACCACTACTGTCAGCTTCATTATCTGCCTGGGGAAACCTATCAAGCTTAGGCAATGGAAGAGACCTTCTAAATCTCCTTGCAGATGAAGCGGGAGTTAGTGCCCCCATGGGTGTGGAACTGCTTATGAAATGCAGGAGAAGAGCAGTGGGGGGTTGTATAACACTTAGAGGTGTGTAGAGGAAGGATCAAATACAGGAAAAGGGAATCATTAAAGAGAAGAAGCAGCGGGGAAAAATAAAGTGAGAAAGACAGGGAAAAGGGCTATCTGCAAATAATCAGTGTGCTAGTCAGGCTGGAACACCTGCTATGTCCTGCATCTGATCAATGGTGTCCTGGCATTTTATTAAACTCTATTTCTAGCTTTTTTGTGTGGTGAAGGATTAAGCATGAACCATCACTGTCTGTCATCACTATCAGTGGTAGATGGCCTGGACAAGCAATCAAGGCATAGTATTAAACAACTCAGCTATTGATGTACATTTCTAGAGGGGCACTTCTTCAACAAGGGCATTTTCCAATTGTCTTGATGAAGGTCAGTAAGATGACCATGTTTCCTAGGTACTTGTAAACCTCCTGACTCTTTGCTTACATGGTTCATGAAACAAGATATTTGGAATTTTTACCCTTATCCAAAAGAGTTCAGTTACCAGGTAAGCAGCTTTAGGTATACATTTGGCTGGCTGAAATCTACATGGAGATCATGTGCTGTCAGACTTCTATGGAAATGTACTTCCTCCCCGAGATTCCTGAGTCCCAAGTGATGCCTGCAATAGTCCTGGCTGAAAGTTGGGAAGAGCAGGCAGTGCAGAATACTTGTAAAACTGAGTCAGTGGGATCTCATCAGGGTGCTAATGAAAACAGGATAGGCCACATTATGAGGGAAGCTCTGTCAAACCATTTTCTGCAGAGTAAATAGATGTTTCAGGAGACAGTGTTAGACTTCCTGCTGCCAAAAGAAATAAACGGGGTATTTACAAAGCTTTTTCTCTAGATCAGTGTGCTTTTCCTGGGCCTTCCACTCATAGCTTTCTTCCCAATACTTTCATACCTGGTGTTCCAGCTCATACAAGGAATTGCTGGGGCCTACCAGCAATAATCTCTTTGCTTCATAGAATCATAGAATGCTTAGAGTTGGAAGGGACCTCTAGAGATATCTAGTCCAACCCCTCTGCACACGCAGGGTCACCTAAAGCACGTGGCACAGGACTGCATCCAAGCAGGTTTTGAAGATCTCCAGAGAAGGAGACTCCACAACCTCTCTG